AATGGCAGTATCTCATTCCTAGACGTCTTCATGGTAAGGAAAGAAGATGGCACACTAAGAAGGAGTGTGTATAGGAAGCCTCCTACAACAACAACAGGTCAGTACACTCATTTTCTGAGTTTTGTACCTTTGAAATATAAACGTAACCTCGTGCGTGAAGTGTCTGGCTCATAGAGCTAGTTAGGTTAATCTGTTCAGACGACTGTCTCAATGAGAAGCTTAAGATTATTAGAGAATTGCTTAGAAAAAATGGCTATCCAGATAAATTCATTGAGAATAATATAAATTCAGCTCCAAGGAGAGTCAGTATGACCACAGTCCCGAAAGAACCAATGTTGATAAAATTGCAGTTCCTCAGTGACAACATCAGCGAATTAATAACACAGCGAGCACCTGAAGAATGCAGTTAAAAGAGCTTCTTATTATGCAGCAGAGGTACGTTGTCTCTTTACAACCACACCTATTTTATGTTCGAGAAATAAGGATAAACTATCTAAATTCGCCTCCTCTATGTGTATCTACCAGTTTGACTGCAGCTGCGGAGCCAGCCAGCTACATCGGGGGGCGTACAATTAGGCAAGTTCATCGTCGTATTTCCGAACATCATCCAAAGTGGTTAAGTAAGGGACAAAAAAGGTCTATTCGTAGCTCTATTTTAGCCCACCTCGTTGATACTGAGCATAAGATTGATGTTAATATAGCCTTTAAAATTATTTATCGCATTCCGACTTATCTTAATTTTGCTCTGCGAGTTCGTCTTCTACAAACGGCTGAGGCGATTGGCATTCACCTGAAGAAGCCAAGCCAACAGAATGAGAAAGAAGCCTTCTCAAAGATGATATTATAGCATGTGGAATAATAAACCACAGTGAAGAAGGAAACGAGCGTATATATTTTCAGTTTTTGATAATACTGTGGTGTGATGCAGACAGTGGATTCCAGCGGAATATTATTCTCACATATACTATTCCCACAGTTCTATACTGAATTGTCAACCGAAAAACTACATATATACATATTTGAACATTCTGTTGCATGTTGTTTAATATAAAACAAAATCGTACATTCACTGATTGGCTAAATAATACAACTTTCATCAACTGAAAATATACTTTGACTTCCATGCCTTGATTTCTGCTGTTGCACTAGGTGTAACTTTCTTTGCCGACAACTGAAAAGACTATGCCCTGTAGTTTTTGAAAAAAAAGGAGACATATGCATCTTCCTGCAGGACTTCAAAGGCTGTTTGACAAGTTGAAAGGCGTTCAAGATCAGTCAACGAAGAGGCTGTTACTTTTTTTTTTGATTACAGCTTGATTCCACACTGTAATTTCGCAGGCCGACCATAGAAATCAGATGTGCGTCGGCAAGGGCTCAAACCCCGGACCATGTGCATGGTTGGCGAGGGTCCTAACCACTGTGTCACCGACGCACAGCTTGAGGTCGCAGGAAGGCAGCATATAATTGTGTGAAGCAAAATATCGACGAATAGGAGCCAGTCAGAGTCTTATACAAAGTGCTTTCAAATTGGGAAAGAGTACACACGGTCATTGCGACACCAATTCAGGTATATACCATCAGAAGTGGAAATAAAGAGAAGCAGGTGAACGTCAGCCAGCTCCACAAAATAGACACAGTAAGTCTAACAACAAAGACGACATCACCAAGAAGACCGAACCGACTTCAGTAAAAAGTATTTGATAGAATGAGAGGACAAGTGTGGTGGTGTGAAAAAGACAATGTGTTGCGTTAGCAACATAATACTGTATATATATATATATATATATATATATATATATATATATATATATATCTGAACATTCTATTTCATGTCGTTTAATGTAAACCAAAATCACACCCTACCCCTCATTATTAAATGGTGAAATAATATAAACTGTATAGATTTATAAATATAAATAGCTGTTTGATCAATTGAAAAAGTATCTTGTCTTCCGTGTCTTGCCTTCTGCTGTTAGAAAAAAATGAGCTCGTTAAATTTCATACATTAAGTCTCTTCAACTGCTGTGTGCATCTTAAACAAAGTCAATTATAAGTTACAAAATAACCTCTGAACGTATATCTTACCAATGTCTACAAGTTATAGGTAGAGAGTAAAGGCAAAGTAATTTACAAGATGATGTAGGGAGAGATAGGGAGGGGGGTGATTTGTGGTCTCTATGATCGAGGCAATGTAATATTTTTGAATAATGTAAATAATAATAATAACAATAACTTTATTCCGTACCATACTTCTGGTAAAATTACGCAATTTTCAGCATGTAATAAGTAGCCCAGTGAGTATTGTTCAACAAGTAGTGTATATAAAGTTATATCAAGTTATAAAAAATTAACAACAAATATAACACAATGAGAACAAAAATTAATTTCGGTTTACTCAGAGTTTCTCAGTAAGTTACCGATTTTTTGCTGACCTACACATGCCCTTCTCATGTGGCCGGACTAAATAGGGTATTGTGGAGTATTTGGCACTCAGTCTTCTAAGCATCTATACTTCACCTGTTTAATGAGACAGAACCAAGGAGACACATAGAGAGAGCGTTGTGCATGGAGAGGATGTTTAAAGTCTGAAAACGTAATATTTGATAATTTTGTTACTTGAGTGCCTGTGTCCATCAATAATACAGTAATAATAAGTTCACATAGCAACACGGCTTTTTTGCCCTTCCCAGTGACTGGCCCAAGAAAGCCTAAGCTGGCTCAATGAGGTGAGGGAGCAGTAAAGAACTTTCTAACAGAATAGGCGAATTAACAAACGGTAGGTAACAGCATTAGAGACGAAATGGTACCCAATCATCTTAACTTCATTACAAAGAATGTCAAATGAAATATATTTCTGGAATGATGAAGAAACGGTGATCAGACAAAATACATAATCCCCAGTATTTATTTAACATTCAATTTAGTTTCAACTTTTTGTAGCATCTATGACAGATCATGTAAGTTTCGCTTCCATGTAAAAATTGAAATTGACCGACCGCCTGCCATTTGGATGGAGACATTATAAGCTTAAGATCATCTGTTGACAGGCGATCATTGGCTAATTTCTGATAAAACGTTTTTTGGCATTTTGGTACAGTCTGACTAAGAAGAAACCACATCGTCATAGAAAATAGTCAGTCACTAGCACACATAAAAAAATTGGCTTCGTCAGAATATATATATATATATATATAGTATAACTGTTTATGGCAATCACAACACTTTAATTTATTCAACACACTGTTATATATTTCCAAGAATAAATAACTAACAACTTGAAGCAATGACCATTATAACTGGGGGCTCAACAGGGGCACAAAATAAATGATAAACATATAAATATATTTCAATGTGGCTCACTTTTCTGGAAGGTACTTTATTCATTGACCTCAATCTTTCACATAAAACAGAGATTACAAAAATTGGCTGTAGAATCGCATCATGAGCTCACGACATTAGGGTTAAAAAATCATTGGAAAAAACTATCTGGGACTACTGCCAGACAGCCCTTATCATAAGTCTAGTTTTGGGACTGCATTTCAGCAGGAAGAACCTCCCCTCTTAAGCTTCGGACCTAGAACCTTCTGTTTACAAGGCAAGCTAGTTTGTAGACCATTCAAGCAGTCAATTAGTGAGACCGAATACAATGGTCAGCTAGTCCATGAATTGTAATTTCTGCTAATTCATGACATTGTCTCAATGGTCTAGAAGCTAGTTCACCTTGTGTCCAGAAGGTGGTGGTTTTGAACCCCCCCCTTATTGTACTGTTGAAGCGTAGTTGCAAACTATGCATAACGAAACAGCTGTCTGGCAGCAGTACCACGTGTGGCTGGTTTTTTCAATGTTTCTGTAACCAACCGATGTCATCACTTTATGAAGAAGAAATCTCTCTAGCCGATCAATCAAACAAACTAGCCCGAACAAAACCAAAACTTACAAAATTACATTTAGTTCATAAATAATAACGGACTTAAGCTTAATCCGTCTAAATGTCAGGTAGTCAATTTCACTTTCAGACAAAAATGTGACCTACAGCAACTAGTTAGCTCACATGGCCCCACTATCATTGACGGCACAGAGGTTGAAAATACATCTAATGTCAAGTACATTGGGCTGAGTTTCTCCACCGATCTTTACTGGTCTTCCCACATCTTTCTAGTTACTAGAAAGATGTTTCGCTTAACGTTCTACATTAGGAAATTTAGGCGGTCTGGCATAAAGCAGTCTTTACTTTCTCAGTTTGTCAATTCCTGTATTCTACCCATCCCCCTTCACTGTTCCCCATTAACCTTCCTGGACTACTCAAGAAAGACTTTGCTTTGCTGAGAAGGGCAGGCACTAAAAGCCGTTCGTAGGGAGGGCAAGTGGGATATCGTTAAACCAACTAACTGGTTAACACTATTGTGGATAGACATATAATGAATGTCATGTAAGAAACTAGCGAATACAATATTGTCGGACCCCGAGGATCCTCTCTGCACGCAGCTGTCTTCTTGCATTTCATCTGGTAGAACTAGAAGCAGCTATAGGAGGCTGGCTAGCTGGCTATATGCTAGGACTACCAAGTACAAAAACTCCACAATACCTACCATATCTGGCACAGCTGTTATGTACGTGATGAGAAATCCGTTAGGTATGACACGATTAAACTTACTGCGCCAGTCTAACAAATAGTCCCATTAGTTTTGGCTTTTCTTTCCTCGTTACTATTACACTGTTGTTCTCATTTTCTATGACACATCAGCTTTATATTTCATATCCTGTGGTGCATTGTTTAAAATGTAAACGCTACGCTGTTATTTTATTTATTTATTTTTGTATTTATCTGCTTTTTCGGGGTGTCGCTTTTTGATTTTAGAATCTCATAAAATTTATGAGGTAATTAGATGCAGTGTACTGTAATGCACGTTGAAAATACCATACCTGTAGCACAAATACCGTTTGGAATAAAGGTGTTAATATTATTATTATTAACAATAAATAGAGCATCATTTACTTACCTCTCGGGGATATTCTATTCATCGATTTCTCAAATTGATACTGATTCATTATGCACTTGATAGAAATGATAATGTAATAATTTAGAAATGATGCTTAGTCATTGTATGCAATCAATGTAATCATGTAGTAGCACATAGGTCAGGAGATTAAGATTTACTCAAAACAGAATGTATATATACATATATGTGGGTATTAACCATTGTTAACACTGTTAACTTGTATAATGTAGGTGTTAACATAAGACTTATTTCTTGTTCTAACGTTAAGTTTTGCCTTTGATAATGAAAAAAACAGATTAGTTATATAATGTATATTGGTGAAGTAAAGTTAATTATTGCAGTAGGCATATAGTATCAGGTGAAAAGAATCATCCAATGTATATTATATATATATGGTAAAATCATATTCAAAACTTAGTAGTATAATGTCGCATCATTTCATTGGTTTATTTGATTAAACAAATAGCCGACTTGATATACATACATATATATATGCGTTTCTGTATGTGTGTGTGTTTGTGTGTATGTGTATGTGTATGAGTGAGTGAACAACTGGCTGGCTGGCTGGCAGCTGGCCGGCTAGCTGACTGAATGAGTTGCCAAGTTAATGTATGAGCTTTGTACAATTAATGAATATATTATACTGCATGTTAACTCATAAAGCAATTAACATCACACACACAAAAAAAACCAAATAAGCCTTCAAGTAGGGTCTTTTTTGTTTGTCTGTTTAAGATTCTTTGATCGGTAGAAGGATTTCATTATGTGTACTGACATCAAATGAAATCCTCCCAACCCCCCCACCCCCACCCCCAAATCGAACAAAGGGAATCGCTGAAAAAAAAGATAAACCGATATATGATAGCTGTTTCGTCCTTGTTTGATACTCTTCATCAGTATGCACCCACCACACTGTGGTTCGAACCCAGGACCTTCTGGTTACAAGTCTAGCGAGCTCGTAGACTACTGAGCCATTGGGACCCAATTCAATGGTCCTTGAATTTTAACTTCTGCCAGTTCACGACATAGCGCAACCACTTCGAAATACTTGAAAATTAATCTGATGCTCACTAGTGACTGGCCCTTTTCAGGCAGTTAACCTGGGGTTCTAGTGGAAAGCCGTGACCATTAGGGTAAAGCAGGTTGAGGATGAGGCAGTAACTCACTCATCGAAGAAGACATTGCACAGTGGTCGCGCTAAGTCATGAATTGGCAGAAATTAGAATTCAAGGATCACTGGATCGGGTCCCAGTGAGTGGCTTAATGGTATACGAGCTAGCTCGCCTTGTAACCAGAAAGTCCTGGGTTGGAACCGTGGCGGTGGGTGAGTACTGCTGTGGAAGAGTCCCAAACTAGGATGTAACAGCTGTCCAGTACTTGACAATATATGATAATTTATGTGATGCTCACTAGTGAATGGCCGTATTCATTCATGTAAGCAGTTACCTGGTGTTCTAGTGGGGAGTTGTGACCAGTAGGATATAGCAGATCAAATGAAGGTAAGTTACTCATTGAAGAAGACATTGTGAATTAGTCGCGCTGTGTCAAGAACTGGTAGCAGTTTGAATTCTTAGGGTGGTTATTGGATCGCATCCCAGTAAAAAAAGATAGTCCTGAATTCGAACTCCGTGGTTTAGATGAGTGGAATCCTAAAATAGGCAGGAAGAAACAGCTGTCTGGCTAATACTTCCAGGTGGTTCTCCTGCAATGCTTCTCTAACAAATCGATTTTAGTACTCATAATGAAATCCATCAACCAATAAAGCCTTTCAGTAGAAATAACTCGCATCTCATAAAATCTGGATACCATTACTACTATACAATTGGTGGATGGTGGCTAGCAGTAGAATCCAGGATGCGCATTTCCCCCTATTTGGGACTCATCAGTTGGATGTACCTGCATTTCTCAGTGAGTGATGATGTTCCCACCGAGGCTCGAAACCCAGTGCCCATAGTTTCAAACGCCAAAGCGTTATCCACTAGACCACTTGGGAAACGAGAGCCACCTCTTGTGCAACGGGTCATATTAATTATTCAATTGAATTTTTAATTTCCCCATCGATTGATTGGACCGAGGTGCTCGGTTTCAGGTTGACCCGTTGCACAAGAAGTGGTTCTCGTGGCCCAAGTGGTCTAGTGGATAACGCTTTGGCGTTTGAAACTATGGGCACTGGGTTTTGAGCCTCAGTGGGAACATCATCACTCACTGATAGAAATGCACGTACATCCAGCTGACGAGTCCCAAATAGGACGAAATGTGCTTTATCCTGGATTCCACTGCTAGCCACCATCCACCAGTTGTATACCAATTAAATGCCTAGACATCGTCGAAGCATCTGCACAAGAAGCCGACATGTCAACCTGAGACCGAGCACTTCGGTTCAATCAATCTACGGGAAAATCAAAAATTCAATTCAACTATTACTACTAATTTGTGAATAATAACTTTTAATTGGACACCTAGTCAGTAACTAGTGTGTAACTAGTGTGGGTCTTGTCCTTGGGTGTTGATGGAGAGTAAATACTGTGAGTCAATTATCAGATTCAAAGTTTCCTGTGGTTGATTGCCTTCAATCATCTAATATTAACAATTCAAAGTTTACTGTGATGTGGAGCTAGTGAGCCATCTAGTGACATGCTAGCCGCCACATTGCAAACTTGACTGACTCATAGAATTCGTTCTGCATCAACACAAAAAAAAGAAACTTGAAATATCAAACTAGTTACTGATGTCCATTGAAAGCATTCAATGCAGTCCTAAGAGAGGTGAATCACGAGCCCAAATACCTCACTGGTGCAAAACATTATTAAAGCAGTAATCACCACATCAATAATAATAATATTCATCTATGATTTCCAATTTGTACATGTCCTAAAATAAATAAAAGTATGACATGTGTTACAGGATTGCATTATGAGTACTGACATCGGTTAGGAAAACGAACAAAAAAACCTGAAAATACTGGAGAGATGTTTCATTTTAGTCCGGGACTGGCTGTTCATCATCGTTACTCATCCACCGCCAGGGTTTGAAACCAGGACATTCTGGTTACAAGGCTAGCTAACTCGTAGACTATTAAATTACTGTGATCCTATCCAATGTGATCAAGCCAATGCGTGAATTCATACTTCTGCCATTTAAAGCACGACACAGTGCAGCCACACACAAGCCAATGTATTTGGTGAGTTTTTGTCCTCAAACCTGACCTGTGTGTATACTACGAGTTGCAAAATCCCAACTGGAACCTTCGCTAACTATCTACGTAAATATATAGCCAGTTGCTAGTGAGCATCTCATTGATATTCAGATATTGGTTTGTAAGGATTTGATTGATTTTTTGCAGTGGTTTAATGGTCAACGAGCTCACTGATCTTGTGGGCAGAAGGCAATGGGTCTGAATTCTGTGTGCGTTGGGTGCACACTGATGGAGTGGAGTCTTAATCTAGAAAGAAACGACTGTCCGGTTCTTCCAAGGTGGTTATCTGATGTTAGTGGTTATAATGAAATCCTGTTACCAATCAATCGAATCCCTGCAAACCAATACTTGAATAACAGTATCGTTTCAGATAAAATAGTAAAAACAACAAGGATTATTTTTATCATTACGAGTTGATCACGGATTGATATCAGTTAGAGAACCATTGAAAACCAGGGAGTACTGGACAGCTGCTGTTTCATCCTAGTTTGGGAATCATCGTCAATACTCACCCACAGAGATTTGAACCCAGGACTTTCCGGTTAAAAGGCAACCTCGTATACCATTCACCAACTCACTGGGACCCAATTCAATGGCCAGCCCATAAATTCTAACTTCTACCAATTCGTGATTTAACGCGACTCCAACCATTGTCGTTGGTGGGACATCCATCCACACACGTGACATCTAATTGGACGTCACTGGTCACGACTTCTCACTAGAACTCACATATATTAACATATATTATTATATATTATATATATTATATATATATATATATATATATATATATATATATATATATATATATATATATATATATATATATATATATATATATATATATATATATATATATATATATATATATATATATATATATATATAATATATATATATATATATATATATATATATATATATATATATATATATATATATATATATATATATATTATATTAACACATATATTAACAGAACTCAGGAAACTCCAACCTGTAGCAAGTCACTAGCGAGCATCAGATTAACTTTCCATAGTTTGGTTAGTAAGGGTTAGTTATGTTTCTACGAGTTGATCACGGATCGATATCAGTTAGAGAACCATTGAAAGTTACCCGGGAGTACTGGACAGCTGCCGTGATCAACTCGTAAAAACATAACAAACCCTTACAAACCAAAATATAGAAAATTATAATTATTCCTTTGGGTTCCAATTTTCTTCTGTCCTATTCAGCTGGCTGACTCAACAATTTTCCAGAATCGCGCATGCCCTACTCCTCTTTCTCACTGCGCGATCTCCTACATGATGAAGAAGAGTTCTTCAGTATTGGCTTTTTTGACTAGCTTAAATCTGGTGTTCCCACATCCAGCTATTTAATGCTACTGACTACAACTTTATTTATTTAACCACATTGAAAGATGTTCTCGACCGATCACGAAAAGTTGAGTTCCAAGAGCAACCGACATAATAAATGGCTCCACAACACAAGTGCAGCTGAATTGATTTTAACACCATTAGAAGGGGTGCTAGTCTAGTCTAGGTACTTCATTCATCTTTCAACTAAGAAATATGACTTGTAGTTAACCAGCATTAAACCCCCAATTTTTTTAAACTGATTTTCTTAATTTGTAATACATTTTTTCACTAGATATATATTTATTGACCGTGAATTGCATTCATGTGTATAAAGATGCTTCTTCTTTTAACGCATGGTGACAAATAACTGATTGATTACGCCTCATTTCTTCATTCATTTCCATGTTTTTTTCTCGTATTACAGATAGGAAACACATGTGAGAAGAATAAGAGTAGGCGTGATGTCGGGAGAGGAATAAGTGGATGGTAGAAGTTTGCTTAATAATATATTATTATATTATTAATGCTCCCTTGGGTTCCTAGTGGAACATAGGGCTTCAACTACACGTCTCCATTTGCCACCTCTGTCTTCCTTCTGCTGTAATTTTCACCTGCATCCATGTTAGTCCATACTCTTTCAACTCCTCTTCACACACACGATCTCCTCCATGTCACCCTTGCACTGACGACACACCCGCCGCCTCCCTTTTGGGTTCCACTCGAGCAGTGGCCTGACGCGCACGTGATGTCACCCAGTGGTCTCCCCAGCGGGTGACCGATCCATTTTAATCCACTTTCTCCTGCATATTTGTTGGGCGATTGGTTCATTATCCTGGAGAAGATCGGTTTCCACTGCATGAAAGCTTCGGCTGCTATTGGTGACATCATGACGGCCACT